GGGCCCCACGCCCACCTCGGCCAGGGGGGTGGCCCTGTCCCTCTCGCGCAGGAAGTCGATGTCACGGGAGGTGACGATGCCCTCGAGCCGCCCCCCCAGGTGCCCCGAGTGGGTGACGGGGACCCCCGAGAAGCCGAGCCGGGCCTTGGCGTCCCACACGTCCCCCACGGTGTGCGCCGGGCTCATCACCAGCGGCTCCGTGATGAAACCCTGCTCGAAGCGCTGGAGACACAGGACAGCGTCACCGGGGCACGGGGACAGGGGACAGTGTCACTGGGGCATGGGGACACGGGGGCACAGTGTCACCGGGGCACGGGGACAGGGGACAGTGTCACTGGGGCATGGGGACACGGGACAGCATCACCAGGGGCTCAGGGACACGGGACAGTGTCACCGGGGCACGGGGACAGAGGACAGTGTCACTGGGGCACGGGGACACGGGACAGCGTCACCGGGGCATGGGGACACGGGACAGCGTCACTGGGGCATGGGGACAGGGGACAGCGTCACTGGGGCACGGGGACAGGGGACAGTGTCACTGGGGCATGGGGACACGGGACAGCGTCACCAGGGGCTCAGGGACACGGGACAGCATCACTGGGGGCTCAGGGACACGGGACAGTGTCACCAGGGCACGGGGACAGGGGACAGCGTCACCAGGGCATGGGGACAGGGGACAGCATCACCGGGGGCTCAGGGACACAGGACAGTGTCACCAGGGCATGGGGACACAGGACAGCGTCACTGGGGGCTCAAGGACACGGGACAGTGTCACCGGGGGCTCAGGGACACGGGACAGTGTCACCGGGGCATGGGGACACGGGGGCACAGTGTCTCCGGGGCACGGGGACAGGGCACAGCATCACCGGGGCACGGGGACACGGGACAGCATCACCGGGACACGGGGACAGGAGACAGTGTCACTGGGGCATGGGGACAGGGAACAGTGTCACTGGGGGCTCAGGGACACGGGACAGTGTCACTGGGGGCTCAGGGACACGGGACAGTGTCACTGGGGGCAGGAGGTGCTCAGGGACACGGGGGGGGGGTGGCACAAGGCCAGGGGACACCGAGGGGACTGCCACGATGGGCACCGATGGGCACCAGCTCAGCGCACTGCCAGCCCGGCCCAGGGGCACGGGGGTGCCAGCGCGGGGCCCCGGCTGCTCACCTTGACCTTGCGCACCTCGCTGGCCTGGAACTCGGGCGTGCAGTTGTGGTGGATGATGCCGATGCCGCCGTTCAGCTGGGGCAAAAGGGGCAAAAGGGGCAAAAGGGGCAAAAAGGGGCAGGGGGGGCCGTGGGTACCTGGGCTCCAGCTGGGTGGGCACCCCCCAGGTGGGCACCTCCTGCAGCCCCGTCCCCTTGCTGCCCTCTCACCCCTCGGGCACTGTGCCCCCCTTGCCCAGCTCCCCAGCTGCCCCCCAAGCACCCATGGGTGTCCCCCCAGTCTGACAGAGCCCCCCCAGCCCAGACCCCCCCGGGTGCCTCCACAAGCCCTGGGTTCCCCCTGAGATGCCTCCACACGTGTAGATGCACCTCCCCCTGTGGTGACAGCCATGTCCCCCTCGGTGGCCATGTCCCCAGTGTCCCCCAGTGTCCCCCAGTGTCCCCCCTGCTCACGGCCATGGCGATGGCCATGTCCCCCTCGGTGACCGTGTCCCCCAGTGTCCCCCAGTGTCCCCCCTGCTCACAGCCATGGCGATGGCCATGTCCCCCTCGGTGACCGTGTCCATGGGGGACGACACCAGCGGCGTCTTCAGGGTGATGGTTCGGGTCAGGGCCGACGTCAGGTCCTGGGGGAGGGGAGCGCCCCTAAAATCCTGACCCCCCCTGAGGAGTGGGGGCCCCTGACTCCACCTGACCCCCCTGCCCCCCCAGCACCCCCAGAAGCACCTGTACCCCCTAACCACCCCTGGAGGGTTGTGGTTCTGTGAGCCCCCACACCCCAAAACCTGCGGGGACCCCATGGGCATCCCCAACCCCAGAAGCCCCCAGGAGGAGGATGGGGGGCACAGGGGTGTCACCGAGGGGTCCCGAGGCACGGGAGCCACCCCGTGGGGAGAGCACAGGGGGGTCTCAGGGGATCCTGGGGGTCACTCACCACCTCGTCAGCCGTGAAGTCGATGTAGCCGGGGAGGATGAGGAAGTCACTGTGGGGGCACACAGGGCTGGGACCCCTGGACCCCCCAGACTCACCCAGACCCATCGCGGGGGCACCTGAGCTCTGGGGAGGCACTGAGGGCAGGGAGACGTGAGTTGGAGGGTCAGGGGGTCCTGGGGGGTCTGGAGGGGCTCCTGGGGGCTCCTGAGGGCTCGGCAGTGGGGTGCAGGGCTGTCAGCTGGCTCCTGGCGGAACCGGGGGATCTTTGGGGGATCCTTGGGGCTGGCGCGGGGGGCAGTTGGGGCCTCCCGGGGGTCTCTGGGGCATTGGGAGGACCCTGGGGGCTCAGGCAGCCCCAGGGAGGCATCGGGGA